GGCACACTGCCAGCTCATATCCAGTTTTTCATCCACCAATATCCCAAAGTTCTGCTCCTCAAGGCTGCTCTCAATCCATTCATTCCTCAGCCTGTATTGATCCTGGGGATTGGCCTGACAGGTGCAGGACCTTACACTTGGCCTTGTTGAACTTGATGAGGTTCATATGGACCCACACCTGAAGCTTGCCGAGGTCCCTCTGGGTGGTCCCTTCCCTCAAGTGTATCAGCTGCACTACCCAGCTTGGGGTCATCTGCAAATTTGATGAGGGTGCACTCGATCCCTACCTGTCTGTGTCACTGAAGATATTTAATAGTATTGCTTCCAGTATGGATCCTTCAGGGATGCCATTCATTACAGGTTTCCACTGATCATGATAAGGCCTGTCATGTATTCACATGTACATGGCAGCAAGAGAGTTAACGTGTCAGTAGCATAGCACTAATGTTGTAAAAGAAGGTGTTCCCTCAAGGGAGAACAGATCTATCAAGATTGCTTATCTTTTACCATAGAATTGCACTTAACCATGACTTTTTCAGTTAGGGTGTTTCAGCAGGCGGGTGTGTTAATAATTAAAGATATCAAACTACTTCCTGCTTGTTACCTCTTTCTGTATTTGTATGCATTACATGCTAACTTAGCCAAGATACCCTTGCCTCTGTCCTCCACTGTCATCTTGATCTCCTAAGGAAACAGATCCCACTGTGGTACTTCAACATTCAGCACTTGTTCCCAGGAAACAGTGAATTTCCAGTGTCTTCCTGTCACTTGCACCTCCTGAAAGATGGTGCTGTGGATGGCTGCAAGTCTGTGAATCCATCTTATGCATCATGGGCATTTCCATGAGCAGATGTGCTGTATGCAGGGTTCCCTGCTGAAGTTCATCAGCCTCCTTTTTTGCTCTGTACACTTGTTGGTCCCTAATGCTGTTAGCATTTCCTGCTGTCAGTTCCTGAGTCACTACAGGAGGAGAGGGAGCATAAAACGACAAGTAGACACCTGCCTTGCTGTCAGTGCTCATCTCTTAAACATGCAGGAGATTTTCCTCTGCTATATCTGTTTGTTGTGATTCCCTGTGGGGAAGAGCCTGACTGGTAGGCTGTGGCTTCACTGATACCAAAAGGGAGTTTGTTCCCAGCCTTTTCAAAGGTTTTTGACTTGGGTTTGCTGCCTCATTTATTACTCTGTCTGATGTATGAGGTCTGGTAGGGCACATAAACAACAGTTCATTCCATGTCCTGATGCTGATAAGGACACACTGTGCTGCATTCTCCTTGGGCCTGAGTATCACTGCAATGGGAACTGACACAGCAGCTCTAGATTGGTAAACAGCTTCATTCCCCACCGATCCCGCTGCTCTGGAAGGACAGCTCCCAGCAGCCACCACTTAAGCAGCTTTAGCTGTCTGAGTGCCTTTGCCCATGCGACACAGACATCATACACATGCCAGGAGTTTGGGGGGTTCAGGATGAGTCTGTGCTGAGCTCTAGAGCTGACAGTGTTTAGCTAGGACAACTGCAACCAAGGAATCTGTGGGACTGTGTAAACAGGACGAGGGCTTTGGGACTGTACAAAAAACAAAGACAAGTTTGCTCCAAAAAGGGGAATTCCTTAGAGGAATAATGCTACTATTTTCATTGTGATCTCTACAGATCACTGAAGAAAGGTCACTCATTACTGCTTTTGTCAGCTTCATGCTTTGCGATTTTTGAGATTTGATTGACAAGGTTGGAGAATCTCATTTAAGCTTTGCAATAGTATTGCTATGATGAAACCAAAGTCAAATAAGGCACTGCCAAGAAACCACAGCAGCACAAAAGGGAGGAATGTCCTGACAAAGAAAACCAAGAAGAAATTACAGGAAGGATCAGCAAACTGAATTGAAGGTGGGGTAGCTGTGTTGCTGTGTAAAGAGATGTGTTTGAAGATGCCTATGGAAAAAAAAAGAAGTTGCTAAAGCCCTGCTTCCTACAGCGGGTTTTCAGTGATGGATACATAGAGTAAAAGCTGCTGTAATGTCAATCATTGGGAGTACCAGAACTGGATGAAACAAGCTGGACAGAAAGCAACACTAAAAGTTTGCAAGTGCACAAACAGCAAGTTTGAGAATTTTGTATCTGAAAAAGAAGCTTGGGTTTCCCCAAGTGACTGTTAAATCATTCATCCAAGAAAAGAGATTAAGATGTGAAGCAGAAGATCCTGTCTTCTTGTTTTGTTCCACACCTCTGATTGTGGGCAGCCTGGGTGATAGAGCTGCTGCCACAGGTTTTTAGAGTCGCTCATCTGCACAGCTGATCCAAAGGAGGTGCATCACAGCCCTGACACAGTGGAACAAAGGGTGTCAATCATCTGCCTGGAGTTATGGCCTTGTAGTTTCTTCCATTATAATATACAGGCTACAGGTGACAGTCTCCTAACTGGTATTATTGTACTCTCTAAAAGCATCTAAAGATTTTAAGCAGGGTTATGACATACCCACTGACACAACTGCTACAGCCCACTTTAGAACATGCCGGTGCTTGCCTTCCCCCTCCCAATATGCTGACTTCTCTATTTGGGCACAGCTGGCTTGATGGGGAGAGTACTCAGTGGTTCCAAGTTCTTTTGGTCTAGAGGAGGAAGAATGCTCTGTGTTCTTTGAACTGAATTTTGAAACCCACTTTAAAATAAAAAGAGCAAGGAAACCTGAAATTGGCTGCAAAGCAGTAAGAAGTGTCCCAAAACACATGGAGCCTGAGCTGTCGCCGTTGCATCTGACCACACAAGCCCCGCAGAGCAGCACAAGCGGCTGACATGTCGGCATAGCCTGCGGTGTTTGTTCCAAAATGGGAACAACATGAGCACAGCACAGAGCTAGAGGAAGGTTGCAATGTGGAGTTGCGTGACGCGGCTGGAAGAGTGCAGGTGCCGTTAGAGAGCAGCAACGCAGAGCTGCAACTGGCGCTCTCCAGGTAAACTTGTACATGGCAAAACAGTTCTTGAAACAGCCAGATATCCCATAACTGTGAGAGGCCTGGCATGTCTCATATCCCAAGTGCAATTCATTTGAAATTGGCTCTGCCATGTAGCTTTTGATGCGCTGCTTTGGAGGTAAAGAGTAAATACAGCATCGCAATCCTGCAGGAACGCTGAACGGTGGGTCATTCTCCAGGCTGCTCTGTGACTTGCAGAACTCTGAACTACAGAAGCTCCAGCAACCCAAGCTGCAACCTTTGCCACTTCTTGCAGCTTCCATCCTCATCCTCCATTTCCCTCTGCGCCCTACATAGGATCTAGGTTTTGGCCTGTGATGCCCATGAACTTGATAAAGGACAAGGAAGGGCCCACTAGGATTCCTCACATTCCTGTAGTGCTGATATCCCCTGGCACTACTGGGTGTGTTGGAGGTCCCTGAGGTGCCTGAGCTAGCACTTGAGTCTGGTCTGTGGTAGGACATACCACGTGGTGACGCCTGGGGCTGTTACAACAGCAAAACACCATTACGATGTGGAATTACAATGGAGGTAACTCTAGAGGAAGGGGTTTTTTCCATTCTGATTGAAACACACTGATTTCAAAATGATACCTCATCTCCTACTGAGATAACAAAGGTTTAAAAATATCAGAGAGGTTTTCCTCTTGTGATCAACCAACCAATCAATTCAAGTTCATCAAAACTCTCTGGTTGATTACATAATTTAGGGCAGTATGAGACTGTATCATTAGTATGACCAATGCCTTGAGATACAACCAGTCTTGTGACAATTAGGTAAAGTCTCCAGGTGAGAGTTTGGCCAGGACCACAGCAACACTTGGCATGCTTAGAAAGACTTTTAAGCACGTTTGAGTCAAGCCTGAACCCAGTGTTCCTGACAAGGGAGAACGGAAGGAGATAAAACCTTTCAGGGGAGATGCATGAAAAATGTTTACAAGGGACTGCGCAGACCACTCTTTGAATGCATAGAGATATCTCATGAAAGAGCAATATTTATCTATATTAAACCATAAAGAACACATAAAAGACACCCACTGTTGCTTTCACTAGCTTCTTTAATGGCAATAACACAAGATGGAGTACAGAAAATGGCAGAGGCCATGGTAAAGGCAGAGCATTCTACAACAAATTACAAAGTAAGCGCTGCTGGTTCTATATCACATTTGGTTGATGCATCTAGTAACAGAAGCAACATGCAATGCGTTTACGTTATATAGTGCAGGACATCCCAATGCCCACTGCAGGTGCAGTGGGTTACACACTCTTAGCTTTGAGACTCTTTCATCTGACCCAATATGATAGTTCTTGCGCTCGTGGGGATTATGGGGAGGGAGGACAGAGAAAGGCAAGATCTGCAGAGCAGCATGAAAGAGAGTTCTCCCCAGTGTTTCTGAGGAAAAAACACAAGAGTAGAAAAAATCAATACAAGCATAGACAGAGATCTAGGTCTCACATATTTCTTGCTGGGGCTGCATCTTCCCTCAGTGTTGCAGGATTTGCAGCCTAACAGCTTTTCCCAGGAAGAAGGGGACGCAGAAATGAAAGCTTGTCATTGAAGTTGATCGCACTGTAAGCTGGAAGGTGTTCATGCTCTCGTGCAATGTAACGAAAACCACTTCCATCACTGTGTTCACACAACAGCCAGACACCTCTCTGGACTTTGTGAGAAGATATGATGTCATTGTCATATCCTCTAGCCAGATTGGTTGGTTCTGTTATCACCCTGGCCCTCCCTTGATAATGGGCATGTTCATAGAGAGTGATCTGAGGATTGTGCAGATTTTCAGTGATCACCTGCAGAGAAGTGATCTTATCATTCATCTCTTCACCAACAAAGCCATATTCTCCCTCCTCAAACACCAGTAACTGTCCTCTGTAGTTCTCATGCTCATAAGCCACCCAAGGCTGGCCAAATACTTTCACTGAGGAGATACAGTCATTCCAATCCACACCTTTTAGACTGGAAATGTCACCAGTGAATTCTTTGGAGTAACCCTGGAAGTTGGCATGCTCATAAATGATGATTTTTCCCATCTCAGTAGGACTGCAGTAGTTTGGGTTTCTTGCTGTATAACAGCCTGCAGAGAAGGAAAAGAATCAATGCCTGTAAGAAGCCTTTTGTACCAGACACAAAAAATTGGAGAGGAGGAGATAAAAAAGGAAAAAATGAAAGTAAAACATTTTTAGCGGAGGATAAATAGAGCAGCAGCTGGAAAAGAATGAGGACATGACATGGAAATTTGTATTTGAAGAAAAAGGTATCATGAGATATGTACATCTAAACGCTCCACTTTTATTTAGTTGTGTATCTTGGTTTATGTAGATGTGTGAGGGACATCTGAGCATTTAGCTTAACATCTTACTGGTATATCCTGAATAATAAAAAAGTAAAACATATAACTGGTGATAAATCTTTCAGTTGATAATTGACACTACATTTAAGAATTATTTTGGAAACTGGCATTCACTGTTTGGACTAGATTTTGTGATCCACGTAGTGCTACAAGTAAAGAAGTAGTGAGACATTCAATTAACATTTAAATGAAAGTGCATTTTGTACTGTAAATAGGAAAAAAAACTCTATACTGTTAAGGCCAGAACTGAACTTTTAGACTCACTGAAATCCTTATTTCTCTTTTTCTATGAACTTCTATTGAAATCAAGAGATTCTTGTTCCTGACATAAGCTGAGAAGCCATCAAGTTCAAAGCATCAGCTCTTTGAGTCAGACTAAATTTCAGGCAGAAAACGTCTTTTTGCAGCACTGCTACATATCTAATGACACACAGTCGTTGGGAATCAGACAAAGAACCACAGTATTTATTAGCAACAGCTACAGGAACAGAAACAAGCGGCCAGTTAATAGAGCAGCTCCCTTTCTAAATTACAGAACAGTCATCGAAGCAAAGTTTTAGGTGTCTGGGCAAGTATACCTGAGGGAAAGAAGCAGTTACTCTAGTTGATTCTGGGAAGGGATGGGAGAAGATCAGATCTGCCCAAGAAAGATTAAAAGTCAGACTCAAATTGCAAGACCTCAGCAACATAATTGACATTTTAAAAAATTGCACTATGTGATTAAAAATATTCAAGCACTTTTTCACAGCTATAATTAAATAATTTATGGAGGCTGTGGCTACCTGAACTTTAATTTGTTGGTTGATTGAGCACTAGTATAATGACCTTCTGCCTCCAGAAAAAGAAAGAAGAATAAGCCAGTTAATTGTGCTGACACAACATAAAGATCCTATGCCCAAGATTAACTGGTGAAATACTCTCACTGTCACCTCCTGAAATTTTGCAGCAATGGCTCTCTTCACCCTCTCGCTGTGGAAGGTGTGTTTATCCTGCAGATGTCTTCTGATCACCTGAAGGACGGGGTAAGTTCCTGCGAACACAGACATCAGACCCTCACATACATGTTGCAGCTTTCATCCCAACCCTTAAACCTCCTTCTCTTCAATTGCATTTCACAGCAGCTGCCCAGGAAGCCACTGGAAGTTTTCATGCAAAAAGCGTGAGTCTCACCTGGATGTCAGCTCCTCGGATGGGGAGAGGCAACAGCACTTCCTTCAGTCCGGTGCTGCTGTCTGGGAGAGGCAGCTCACGTGCCTACATTTATAGCTTTCACAGAAGTCTTGGGAAACACCCCAATCAGCAGAACCGAGAAGTGGCAGATATTACAGAAATCACAAATCATTATTTTCTTTTGGTTTTGGTCTCCCTATAACCAGCCACCTCGTTGCTCTGGTTCAAAAGTCCATTGAAGTGCAAGCATGTTGATAAAACTTAGAGCTTTGATTCTTGTTTATCTTTATTTTCCAGAAGCCAGATGAATCTAATAAAAGCACATTGGAGTATTTTGTGACATGTGGGCTGTAGAACGTTTTTCTTGCTGCAGTCTACATTGTGCTTACCTGTGAAGCACATCTAATACACAACACTAGTTTTCCAAAGGGTTTTGATGTGAGATATCCAGGTGACAAAGGTGGCATTTAATTAGCTTCTTTTAAAATTCACTTTCCTCTTCTCACCTACGTAGCCATTTGGCCAGCCACAGGGATGGTAGCGCAGGGCAAGGAGGCTCTGGCAGAGCTGCAGTGGCAATAACGTTTACTCTGTAATACATTTTCAGACACGTTAATTGGCTAGCATGCCAGCCAGCTTTACTACAGTGGGAGAAAACAATGGGATTTTTGTTAGTTCCAGAGCCATCCAAATACCCACAGCAGTAAAAAGAAGAGACTTCCTTTAAAAGCTGATTTGGCCTTAGCCATCTCCCACTTTTGAAATTACACAACAGTCTAATGAATGCTAACAACTGTGCAAAACAATGAAGGAGCTGCACTGCCAGCGAAAGCAAACGAGCAACTTTAGCAAGAGCGTTCCCTGCCTCACCTCCAGACATGAGAGAGCCCACAGCAGCGACTCAGAGGTGTAGTGGTTCCTGGGGAATGCCAATGAAATACTCACAAGCTCACTGGCAGTAGATCTCAAATATACCTTGGGTGTGGGCAGGCTGGCTGGGCACTGTGTGCAATCTTCTGAGAGGGACCAAGGAGGAAGCAATATGAGCCAGTTTTCATACACCAGAACTCCTGAGAAAGAAAACACAGAGTTGTGCTTACAGCTACCGTGTAGGTGCTGCTCTGTACTGTCATTAAACATAAAGGCCAAACTCTGACCAGCAGAGCTTCTTTCAAGGTCACGATTGCAGTGACCCCCCCCTGTAGAATGCTTGAGGGACCCCACACTGTCAGGGAGGATGTTGCTGGAGAAGACGGGGAGCTGGGAAGGGAGAGAGCTCTCTCCTGCCAGAACAGGCAGCCTGTACACAAGCTCCAGCCAAATCCTCCGGCTGCATCTCTTTCACGGGTGCTTGGCTGAGCTCATGGTGTGGCAGATCACAGAACTAAGCTAGCACAAAAGTCCACGGGCTTTTTTCCCCATGGTTCATTCTTCTGCTGCTCTGCAGAGGCTGGAAGCAGAGCCATTGAAATTTGCAGTCTGGGCTTTGGAGAAGCAGGACCTCAGTTCCAGCAGCAGCTGGATGTGAAATCAGCTCTGCTCTGCTGGCAAATCGCACCATTACAGATCGAATTTGTGTGTGGCAGCCAGCTCAGCCTGCAGCTCGGTGCTGCTAGGAAGGGGAAGGCCGCATCCCCCTCCTGAACCACGGCTTCCACATCTGGCAAGAGAAGGGAGAAGGAGCACACAGATGGGAAGAATGACTGGAAGAGGAGCTAAACCAGCCTAGAACGGTGGATTTATGCTGCCACTGAACAACATTCCTTCTGCATATCTTGCTACTGCATGTCACTGATGCCATTATTGAGTTATGTTTCTGGATTTATTTTTGGTTTAATCTTTATGTATATATAATGAAATAATTCATCACAGTCTCCCCATTCCCATTTTCCTCAGCACCCACAGTCTTAGAAAAGCCCTTTGGACAGACATAAGAGCAATGAATACGACACAAAGAGCAAGTCTGAGTGTGTCTCAACAGTGTTTACAGAGCCATACAGGCAGCAGTGAACAGGATCCTAAGTGCCCCCCATCCTCTCTGCAGAGCACCAAAGCTGGCAGTGGGGCTTTTCAGGGCACCAAGGAAAATCAAAACATGATCTGTGATGGGATGCGTTGACACAAAAGCTTGGCAAAGATCTCTCTATAAACACGGTCAAGCTCACCAAAAGAAAGGAGCTCCTGCTTCTAATGACCCTCTTCCCTAGTGTTATTGGGCTTGAAAACTAAATGGGTTTCAGTGTTGCTCATTGACATGGTGCTTTGTGCCCAAAGAAGTAAGACACTGAACAAAGCAGACTACTACAGAGTGGGCGTAGCAGTTTGAGTCTGAAAATACAACATGCAGTCTTTTAAAACATGCAGAACTGCATTATGCAAAAAACACATCAACAAATGAAGAGTTTTTCCAGGTTGCAGCAAAACTACTAAAAGATTTTTATCTTTTTCATAAAATTGGTTTTCTTGGGTTTTTCTGACAAGGCTTAGTAGTGGACTTAGTAGTGGAACATGGACTAGACCACAGAACTCCAAGATGTGAACAGCCCACCCACCAATAAATGTATCCACTGCCAAACCCTTGAGGGCAAAAAGATGCCTCCTTCTTTGTCAAGCATGTCTCTCTTACAAACTCCCCTTCTTTTTCTGTTCTCTCTCTGATTGCCACTGTGTTTGATTCACTCCCCAGTTGCCAGTGCTCAGTCAATTGGACTGAACAACACTGCTTTTTCAAAGACTAATAGAGGGATGATAGCAGCCTATTGGGCGAGTTCTGCATATCCACTCGCAGCGCTGGCAGTGAGCTCCACAAAAGATATGCTGGAAAGAGTGGCACAGCAAGTACAGACTGACAAAAGCGTTCTAAGTCCTCTTGACAAGACTCAGGAGCCAGAAAGGAAAGGGCAGAGTTTTTCTATCCATTATTTCCTTCTCAAAGTCTCCCCTTCCCTGATAAAGGAAAATGCAACAGATTATCTGTGAATAATTGTTTTAGTTCAAAATGTCACTCTTTAACCTGAATTGAAGTCTTTGGCAGGATCCTTCTCCTCTGGACAATGCCTCAGCCAAAAATTGTACTGCTGTATGTGCAGCTGCTGAAGCTCTGTGGAGTTTCTCCTCCGACTGCCTCTGAACTTGTGGTGGCAGTTAAAGTTCGTGCTGCCTTAAGCTCTGTATGTATTCACTTCTGAGAGCTAATTGCTCCTGTGGGGTGATCTGAGTACAAGTTGCTGTGCAATCAGTTCACATCTGCCCAACTGTAACTTCTGCTGTAAGGGGAAAAAAAACAGGAAGTTGGAAAAAAAAAAGGGAAGATGTGTGTGCTACACAATTCTGAAGAGAGGAGGAATATATTTTTGCAGTTAATGATTATACATAGGGTTTTAAAGATTTCAGCTTCTGTGCAATGTTTTCTGAATGAAATTTAGATCTAGAGTCTATAAGTCATGCCAAACATAATTTTTACTTTAAACATTGTGGACCAAAGGACAGTCACTTGGTGTTCTGTCAAGTCAAGAGTCATGACTCATCCATGCATCAAGCCCAGCCATGAGCTTGCTACTGATTTGTCATTAATTTGAGATTATTTTAAAGATTTTTGATTATTTGGATGTAAATAGGAAATTATTTAGAGTAACTATACAAACAGTTATGCTGCTCCAAAGTTCTTTTTAAAGTCGCAGGCTGAGGCCACGCAGACTAGTGATAATCATTAACTAGATTTCTATACAAATAATAAGACTCATGATGAGATACAATTGTTAGACTGTTCAGTAAGGACGATTTATTGCCCTGTAGACCAGGTGCTCTAGAAGTTACATTGTGAAAGGGCCTCAAAGATGTTAAAATCGCAGTGCGAGCCAAAAATCCTTGGGTCAAGGGCATTGGAGTGTCTTTCTTTTAGGTCAGTAGTCCGTGGTGGTCACAAAAGCAACCCCCCAACCCATTTCAGGACTCAAGTGCACAAGACTGGAAAGAGGTGGGAATAAGAAAATGAGTTATGGGGGTTAACATGTTTATGTATGAGAACTTGATTAATATGTATTACTGTACCCTATATAATCAGCATGTTACACGGATTAGGTGTGTGTTGTTGGCGAGATGACTCCCCTGCACACCTGGCCGTTAATAAAGGACTGCCTGTTTATCTACATCACATTGGTGTCAATAAGATCTTTTATCCTGTTTTGGTGACAAGCTAAGAGCCAAGTCAGTGTGAGTAATCCACCCCAGGAAAATTTTCTGAAGGAACTGTTATCTAATCAGCAATGCAACAACTGGTACAGGATAAGGTAAGTGGTTAATGTGTAATCACAACCCTGGTCTGGGTAGACAACATCACGCCTTAAACTGAAGTTTTATATTTGTGGTTACCCAAACATGCCTGAACTTGTTCTGCAGACGTTTCTAACCAAGCAGAGGAAAAGCTCAGTCTGTTTATGTATCACCTCTTAGTTATACCCATGGTGTTAAAGCCTTCTTCTTTAGCAATCTTCTTTAGTATACCACAGGTTACAAACCTTCCTTATGCAGCATTCTAGTCAAATATCAATTTCGACTTTACTGTGGATTAGTAATAATCCCCTCTGTGAAAGCTTTTTACTGATTGTATAATTTGGAAGCAGTCTTTTTAGTCTGTATTAGTATTGTACGTAATTAACAGGGCTTGGAGCCTCCAGATACTGTTTATCCTTACGTTGACAGTCTGATGGAGATGCCAGGGCTCTCGTATTTCCTCAGCAAGAGTGTCATACAGTACTTTTGTATAGGGATGCACATCACATGAGAAATACAGTAGAGAATGCCAGGGAGTGTGTTGTGTCTTCCTGAGATGCCTCTTGAAGCCTGCCAGAAGGCGAGGGGTGAGGGTGATCAGAGAATATGATTTCAAGGGTACTGCTGTCTGCACGGTGTAGAAATTGCCTGTTAGGCTGCAGTGTGCTGCACCCCAAGAGCAATTAGACACACACACCCCCCCCTCAAATTAAAGAAAATCCCCTCTCTGGTGACCAGGAGAACCAGAGACAGGCAGGAATGAGCTGGTTAAAATCACAGAGTAACAGCAACTTTGGGAGGCAATGTAATCTGTTCTTTGCCCAGGAGAAACAGAGAGAAAAATCAGAGAAAACAATTATCGGACTCAGAGACATCCTGGCTGTAAATAAATAATTTGGTCTAATATTGGCCACCCACCCAGGACAGAGAGGTGGATGAAATATTCTATAGGCACTCAGGAGAAATCTCACGATCGCTTGCTCTTGTTCTTGTGGGAGACTTTAACTTCCTAGACATATGCTGGAAATACAACACAGCAGAGCAGGACCAGTCCTGGAGATTCCTAGAATGCGTGGGAGACAACTTCCTGATGCAGCTGGTGAGTGAACCAACGAGAGAAGGTGCCTTGCTAGACCTCCTCTTTGTGAACAGAGAAGGACCTGTGGAGGATGTGGTGGTTGGAGGCCAACTAGGACACAGCGATCATGAAATAAAGGAGTTCTCTATTCTTAGAGATGCCAGGAGAGGGGGCAGCAGAACTGACATCCTGGATTTCCAAAGGGCTGTCTTGTTTAGGCACCTGCTTGACAGGATCCCTTGGGAGATGGTCCTGAAGAGTACAGGGGTGCAGGAAGGCTGGGCACTCTTTAAGAAGGAAGTGTTAATGGCACAGGAGCAGGCAGTCCCCGGGTGCTGTAAGAGAAGCCGGTGACAGAGAAGACTACGCTGGCTGAACAGGGAGCTTTGGCTGCAACTCAGGGAGAAAAGGAGAGTTTGAGCCTTTGGAAGAAGGGGCTAACCACTCACAGTGATTACAGAGAGGCTGTGAGGCTATGCGGGGTGGAAATCAGG